TAGGGATATTAGTATTCCCCCTTCCACCACCATTATCAAACTGCACGAGCAACCATTCTCCCCATTCACAAGACTCAGGGGTATGGATTCCATCGCCACACTCTGTTACCTCATGACCAATTAACCCACAAAAGTTGCAGAATTTTGGGAGTTTTTCGTATTCCACAGGATACCTTTTCATCTCTTTCAGGGTCAGTGACAGATCCAATTCTTTCTCCTCCTCTCCGCAGAGATTCAAACCCTCGAACTTGCTTTCAAGATTGGATTCAAGCGGGGGAACCGCATCCCCGCCGCCGATGTTACCAGATGCGTCGCCGCCTCCAAGGCCACCCGCCAGGGTTTCCTTCATGCTTTCCGCCATGGTGTCACCTCCTGCAGCCGCCAGACGACCACCGCTTGGAGTTTTTACGTAAGGATTTGCCGCAGGTTTGGCTAAATCTGGATATACTCTCGCGCTGCCGCGAGAGAAACTAGGGAACCCTAGGTCGCCCTAGGGGAAAAAAACAAAATATAAGTTTCATGATTTCTACAAATCACTACAATGTTGTCGCGTCCTACTAGTATAACATGAAGTCGATACACAACGATCGACGGCCCTCCCAAAGGCCCTAACTCAAACAGACATAGTAAAATCTGTAGAAGGAAAGGGCCCATACTAAAGCCCAATCACAGTTACGGCCTCCGCTTTTCCTACTACTAGCCCATGGCGTTATTACCCTAGCCCCCCAACGTGATTAACGCGTGATTTGTGGGGATTATCGTTGGGCGCTGGCGGCTGCCGCTGCCTCTTGTGCTCCCTGCCCATGAGTAGACATTTGAGTCCGATTAATCAACACACACCGGCTCCATGAGGAGCGACCTGCAGATTACTCGTGTCAATTCTCTAGCGTCCCAGTCAACCAGCAAGGTTAGCATCAGTACTGTCTACTAATCTCTCTGAACTCTCATTTTAGATGCATAGAAATTTCTATATCCAATTTTAGTTATTTTAATGGTGACCTACAATGCTAATTCATTTAAAATTTATTTTGCTGATCTGCTTAGCAGTTATAAAAAAAGCGCCGTCAAACATCACAAAGATTAATTCAATTTTTATGCATGTTGTTTTGAGTTCTCAACCTACTGATTATTGTTAATGGGGCTAATGCGCAAATCAATGCGCAAGTTATCAATGCCGGTCCAATTGAAGCCGTCTATTGAATTGCATGATAATCTACACTGAGAAGTGAATTATCTTGCAATCAGGTCATCTTCTGATGAAATAATTAGTAATTTTTATCTTATTGGCAATTATAGGGTAAACTTTAACTTATACAAATTGAACTATACTTTAATTGCGTCCAAGTGACGCATCAATACAGTATTGCAGTAAAAAAAATCCATTGACTTTTTTCAAGTTTACTT